AGGAGGACATGTTGTGTACAAGCCTACAAGGTGCAGAGCCTTGTCAACTTCACGAGGGATTAATCACTTCCAAGATGTGTTCTGTGATACAAGTGGTATTCCTTGATCCCTCGGGCGGTGGAGACTGACACAGTTGAGCAGCGCAAGCATCCAATTGTTCACCGGGTATGATTGAGCAGAACCCGGGCATAGGCAGGAGGCAGGGGCAACCGGGAGTGGTCAGTCTGCAAGAAGAGGGAGGCATCACAAAGGGGATATCACAGACGGCATGCATCGACCTCGGCAGGATGGGAAGGTGTGGGTTAATCACTCCCAAGACGTGTTCTGTGATACAAGTGGTTTTCCGTGATCCCTCGGGAGGTGGAGACTGACACGGTCGAGCAGCGTGAACTTCCATTATGATTGAGCAGAACCCGGGCAGAGGCAGGAGGCAGGCTTGACTGGGATTGGTCAGTCTGCAAGGAGGAGGGAGGCATCACAAAGGGGATATCACAGACGGCAGGGATCGACCTCGGCAGGATGGGAAGGTGTGGATTAATCACTCCCAAGACGTGTTCTGTGATACAAGTGGTTTTCCTTGATCCCTCGGGAGGTGGAGACTGACACAGTCGAGCAGCATGAGCATCCAATTTCCGACCGGGTATGATTGAGCAGAACCCGGGCGGAGGCGAGAGGCAGGGTAAACTGGGCGTGGTCAGTCTGCAAGAACAGGGAGGCATCACAAAGGGGGTATCACAGACGGCAGGGATCAACCTCGGGCAGGATGGGAAGGTGTGAGAACGGGAAGAAAGGGGGGCATGTTCTGTGACATGTTCTGTGATACAAGTGGTGTGGTTTTCCTCGAAACCCTTGGGCGGTGGAGACTGACACAGTTGAGCAGGGACCATCCTATTGTTCACCGGGTATAATTGAGCAGAACCCGGGCAGAGGCAGGAGTCAGGGTCAACAAGTCGTCAGTCTGCAAGAAAGAGGGAGAGGGAGTCGTCACAAACGGGATATCAGAGATGGACAACATACCCAATCAGTCAGTCAATGTCCTGTCAGTTTCACGAGGGATTAATCAACAGCCTCCCAGAGGACGTTCTGTGATATAAATGGTGTTCCGTGGACCAGCCCTCAGGCAGGGAGACTGACACAGTTAAGAGACCACTTGTTCACCGGGTTTAGTGCAGAACCCGAACAGAGGCGGGAGGTAGGGTCAACGGGGAGTACTCAGTCTGCAAGAGAGAGGGGGGTCATCAGGGGCGATGCAATCACAGAGGGAGGAACCAACCTCGGAAGGAAGCGAGTACAGTTGGGGAAAGGGGGCAGGGGGGCGGGGTTGGGGGCATTCAGCAGAAGCACAGATCTCGCAATTCATGCCAGCAGCAGCACAGATCTTGCAATTCAACGTGTCCTTGTGTTGAGAACTCTTTACCTCCGCATCAAAGGGGGTGGGCGGGCTGGGGTGGGGTGTAGGGGGTCATTCAGCAGCAGCACAGATCTCACAATTCAGCATCCTTGTCCTTGTGTCCAGAATTAGCACAGTTCTCCCAATTCAGCATCCTTGTCCTTGTGTCCAGAATTCTACCTCCACTGGTCAGAGCTTCCGTGCCTATAGGAATAGACCTCTTCATTCTGACCATGGAGGAAACGGAGGACGTACTCTACTCTTAGCGCTAAATCTTGAATGCATATAACAGCATATATAGCCAGAACTGGACGCATCTGGTCGCAATTACACTCCCGACCTAAGTATATACTCACAACAATGGACGAATGAGATTGACACAACCGCCAACTTCACCTCTCTGGATCTCCTTTCTGCACTTCACCACTAGTGACCTTCTTGTTGCTCCTCTAGACTGCTGGTCGTTCAAGCATGACCTGGTGGCACCACTGACGATCTCTCTTCTTCTTCCCCCCTAGCGCCACTGATTATGCCCAACTCGCTAAAAGTCACAAAATGCACTGATGAGAGAGACCGCATCACAACACACTGCAGGACTGTCAATAACACTTACAGACAAACGACGATCTTTAACAAACTAATGCAACACATTGCAACCTCTATTTTTATTTTTTTCCCCCCCCAAAGGCTGCCAGAGCGATTCGATCCCACAACAAGGTACTACAACCATCGGCATATACGTAACCTCTGGGCCATGTGCCAGAGATTCCATTCTGCACAACCTCATATCCTCCTCGTACCAGAGTTAAAAACAAACTGATCTATTGCTCATCCGTGACCCACATAATCCTTGTGTAAACCAGCACAGGCACGATCATCGCCGAGGACTGGATGCCCCACCCACCCACCGGTGGGGACCACCAGCCTTCCGACTCTACTACAGTACAATAGTCGAAACGGCTTCCACAAATTGCTTTCAGGAAACCTAACCCCTGACTTCCCAAAGGACAGAGACCAGAGAACATTGCTCGCAATTCTTTCTAGCCCAACTCCACAGCACCACAAGCCTCCACTCTAACCAGACTAACAAACACTGCCTGCTACTCGGCCAATCCTCACTGACCAAGCAATGCAGAGGAAGCCTTCAAACCAAACCATCCACCCTTGGGCAGATACCTCCAGAACAACAGAGACACGAAGGCCTCTCCCATAACGAAAGTCTGGCCCGAGCAGGGAAAATCTGCACCGATCTGCCCAAAATGAGCTAAACAGAGAGAGAGAGAGAGAGACAAACAGGCTGTAACAGCAGGAAAACAAAATAGGAAGCAGACTGGAGCTCTCCATCCCGCACACGTGTGCACACGAGAGAGAGAGAAAGAGAGAGAGAGAGAGAGAGAGAGAGAGAGAGAGAGAGAGAGAGAGAGAGAGAGAGTGACTCAGTAGCAGGTCAAATCGATTAGACTTCCAGAAGCCAACCAACCCTCCTCCTGCCCCTGGCACACAATAATAACGCCTCTCAATGCCCCCAGCCCCAATCACCCGAGTCCTCATCAGAAGATGCACCAGACGTGTACGTAAACCTCCCTCCCTTCGCATAGAACACATACAACCTTGCATGCATGCCTGCCAAGCATCGCGCACACACCTCAGAACAGCCACATGGCCTGGGCAACAACTACGTCATCGAACAAGGACAACCGGCGCCCTTCAGTCAGAGACGACTATCGGCCACAAACTCACAGCAGAACCAAGCAGCGGTAACCGCTCGAGTTGCAAAGCCAATGTCGCGAACTACATCAGGATATTTTTTTTTCACGTCGCACCCTACAAGGATCATTGTGGCCGCTACGGAAGTCAACAGCACCAGATATGAAGCACGCTACTTCGCTATGTCACCTTTGTGACTACTCTCGTTCTTCCAAGCTGTGTCTAACCCACACCATCAACCTATCTGTCCTTCAACCTCTTCAATTGTTCTGGTCTTTGTCTTTAATATCTTCCATGCAAAGCAGCGGCAATATTAAACTTCATGAGACACAACCCTGCCACATATCCTCACCCCACATCAAAAGCTGAAAACGATCAGTTCTTCTGCGACTCCGACACCCTTCCCGACCCACAAGCCACGAACACACTCTACGACAACTTCTGATCCATCTTATATATACTCGTGGCCTGCAAAACAGCGTGTCAAACGATCATGTAGGCGGTGGGCGCAGGGTCATGTACTCAGTACATTTTCGGGGCAGCGTTAGGTCCAGACCCGGTCTTGGCAATCTGCACAAGTTCCTTCACCGCGTTGGGGACACTCCCCTTGTGTTTCAACATGAGCCGCCGATTGAGATTGACATCTTCAAAACCCTACACATAGACAACACACATCCCCGAAACGTTAAGAGCAATCTAAGAATATCTTCCCACTTCCAATCTGATGAAACCTCCTACACCTCACAATGATAGACACCATACAAAAACAGAACTCCACCAAAATGGAGAGCACAACAAAAAAAGACCTAAATCACCGGCACCAGGTAAGATATTTATGCAAAAATATCATCGCAGAAAATGGGCATCACACCCCTAACAACATTATACTCGTCTGATCCAATTCTCTCAAACTCACACTTCTCCATTAGCAAAACAACGTTTCTCCATCAGCAGAACAACAACAAAAAATGTCCACCAATAGTCAAATGCTTACCACTGGTTTATTGTGTTGTTAACATGCATGGTTTAATTGGATGTCCATCCCTGATGGACTGTACACTAAGCTGAGTACATCCTCTATTCCAGAAAGGTAGAATTAGGAGGTCCCCAGCCCTAATTTGTTACGGTTTATGAAATAGTGATGGGTTCAGTAAAAGACAAAAAACGTTTACCACTCAGCCATGCCCTAATTTGTTACGGTTTATGAAATAGTGATGGGTTCAGTAAAAGACAAAAAACGTTTACCACTCAGCCATATCAACAGATTTTTTTTTCATTTATTTTTTCCCCCGACCATATCAGTCTTCACCATTCGACCACACCACAGTCAGTCACACCATAGTTGGTCACACCACGGGAAGTAGGACAACTTCCCAGCAACCAGACTCCCGGAGAGCTCATCGTGCTTCTAAGCATACACGAAGCACAAACAACCAAATTGGCCTACTCTGCCCACAAAGCTGATAAGACCTGACTATACCGAGGCACACTACAAACACCCTCCCACCGTACAAGGAGACAAGTCTGTGCACTGCAATGTAGTGTTCGTTTTTTTCTCCCTTTCCTCCAGCAACAAATCCTCTGTACAACTCAATCGGCAACAACGATACATAATAAACTCCATCAGCAACAAAGATACAAAAATATACTGCTGGATCATCACAATGAAGCATTAAGCAAGGGACGACGAGTGCAAAACAGCTCGCTTCCATCAAAATTCGAGGGGGACACAGAGGCTAGAAACTTCGGAAATCATCATTCGAAAAAAATAAAGGCTCTCCTTACCATGCTCTGCAAATCCTCCAACTTGTCTTCCCAACTCGAAAGCGATACCAGGTCCTCCACAGTCCGCGCCAGATCATACTGGTACTGCTTCAGCAGTTCGTCGTTCAGAGCCAGATTCTGGAATCCCATGGACACAAGCTCCTGGCGCAAAGACAACTTGAAGCCATCAGCTTCAGTCACAACCGGGGCAGCAACAGGAGCAGCTGCGGCAGCAGAGTTAGTATCTGGCTTAGGAGGAGGACGCACCGCATCCTCAGGTTTACCACCACCTCCTCCATGCCCTGCCACCTTATCATTGGCGCTTTTCGGTTCGTATTCGTCCACTGCCACAATCTCCTCCTCCACCTCTTTCACTTTCACGATTTCGCGGGCGACGACCTGAACAGGAGAAATGATGATGTCATCACCTTCCACTTCCTCGATTTCCACAGAGAGAGGTTTCTCCACAATGGAGAACCCTTCTCCACCGAGCTGCCCCTCCACATAATCATCCGGATACCCGGACGAGCTCGACGCACTAGTGAAACCCGTGGGCATTTGGTCCTCCTCCTTAACCTTCTGCACCAACCCTTCATCCTCTCCGCCTGACATTGACAAGTCATCGTCTACAGACACTTCCGAGACAGAAACATCAGCTGTCAAGAAGGGCTGCTCTCCCTCCGGGTGCTGCTCGTCGCTCAGATGCACCATCTCTCCAAAATCCACTGCACCATCATCATCGTCTTCTGCATTTAACATCTCACCCCCCTCACCACCAACGGACCCCCCCGGTGCAAGGGATAGATAGGTCATTTTCTCCACCGCCACACTCAAAGGGGGGCTGCTGCCACCTGCCGCCATCTCACCACCCTCATCACCAACCGACCCCTCCGACGCAAGGGATAGGTAAGCCAATTTCTCCACCGCCGCAGCCAAAGGGGGGCTGCTGCCACCTGCCACCGACTCCTGCACAGACACACCAGACCCATGTCCAGTAACCTTCATTGTGACAGAGTCCGCCTCCACGTGAGGTCGCTGCTCCTGCTTTCCCTGACCAGGTGCCTCTGCAGTCGTTGGTGCAGTCATGCTACTTCTTACCTCTTGCTCAGAGAAATCACCCCCAGTCAGTGCTCTCTCCATATCCTCAGCCTTATCAGTTCCGTCCGCATGGAACTCCAATTCCTCTACCATGGGTGCAGACGGCATCCCTTCCACCTTCACCTCCCCTCCCTCGTCTGTCGCCCTGTCAACCACCTACACAAACCCATAACCAGCCGCCGCCAACGCCACCACAGCAATCCACACCAAAGTGATAACCCACATTAACCACCGAGCCTAGCAAAGCAACAGAGGATAGAAGAATTGGTCTTCCATTCCCAGCAGCTCAAGTGAGCAACTGGGAAATACTGAAGAGACATAAACAACACGTGCTGAAACAACATAACAGAAACTCAAAATGCATTCGAAACTTTTAATGCTTTTGAATCTATAGTGTTAATTCTGTTCAGGTCAAAACAATGGTGCAGAGATTGCTAAGACGAGTGGGCTCAGCAACAGGCAGAAAGGTTGAGTTATCCAGAAGAAAACCTCTGACGTATGCAAACGTAGCGGTTCTCAAGAAAACATAAACATGAAGAGCGCCACATCAAGACATAACATGAAGAGCGCCACATCAAGATTACATAAACAGCTCTCATGACAGCACACTCACATTCAAACTCTTGTTCACACGTGCCGCCGTGATAGTCAACGGCACGTGCAAAGTCAGGAGATACAAGCTGCGAGCACACACACTTTCAAAACTACACAGATCTGTTCCCAGATCTGACACGATATATATACACGGCCATGATGTGCCTCTAGTGCCAGCGGCATGTCTGGAGTGTATTTTTTGGCTGTGACAGACCGTTCTTTGTTTCATGGGTGTTTTGCTGGCTTGGTGTGCGTGAGTAATAGTCTGCTTTGATTTTCGTCACAGTTACCTTGGGGAGTGGTCGGTGCCCACCTCCTCAAAGGGGTATCAGTTGACAGGCAGTCATGTACTTGACCACAACCGGGGTTCAGGTGGATTATCACTAACAGTTTCATCAGTTAGGGCATTCTGCAGATTGTCGACGGTTCAGCCTCCAGTAAAGGGCAGCTCTGTTTGACAATATACATATGGGGAATACGCGAACACAGCTCTCCTGCTTCCTGTCCACAAATGCAAACCTCCACAACCCGACACAAAAACTCTACCCACTCAAGCTTACCTGAACCTGAATCCAAAGTCGATGACCGAACTTCTGTCCGCTGGGTAAGGCCAGCCTCCAGTTTGAGACATACCGCCCAGGTTGCTCGGGTGACGCACACTCAACAGCCACGTCGACTTCTTCTCCAGGAGGCAAACCATTCTCAGGCAGCTGGAATATAAACAACCATCACCGGAAGCATGCACAGGACAATGACGTCAGCAACAACAAAAAAAAAACTGAATGCATAATATGTACCCTTACGTTCACGCCAGCCTCCCAACCACCGCCACAACCTCAGACAGGAGAAAAGAGGACTTTCGTGGGACACTCTCTCACCCACAAAACTCACCCACAACACCCCAACAACAAAATTCACGAACACATGACACTAATGAGAATACCCTCACACTTCGGCACCACGACGGTTTCCAACCACCCTCACAATCTCAGAAAGCAGAAGGGAAGTGGGACACACTCTCACCCACAAACATGCAGGTAAAACCTTTCTGCGTCAAATACTGCAAGAACCCACAAAAGGAGGCAAAGCCCCAAAACAACAAAATTCGCGAATGCAAAAATAGTAAAACACCCTCTCACACTTCCATGCCAGCTTCCCAACGACCCTCAACCTCCGAGGAGGTACCCTCGGAAACCACTAGTACATACCCAAATACCCTCTTAAACCACCAGTCCATGGCCCCAGCCAAAAAGAATCCACTCACACCTCTCCTAAAATTTCAAGAGGCTCGCACACCGTTGATAAAATACACCAACTGGAACAAAGGGGCCCACGGTCTATGGCACGTACCGGTACACTCTCACCCACAAACATGCTGCTACCTTTCTGCCCAAAGGGCTGCAAGAACCCATAAATCACATGCAGGTAAAACCTCTGCCCAAACGCTGCAAGAAGTGCCAAGAACCCCATAAATCTTCTGTCGAATCCTCAAACGGGAAACCTAGACTGAAAAAAAAGAGGAAACATTTTATGTGGAGCTCAAAAGAGGGAAAGGCATGGACACATAATTAACCCGGAGAAGCGAGGGTCCGTTGCCTTAGGCAGGTCAGGCCACCACAGGGCAGATTCGGGTGATGGTCCTCATATGTGCCTGACACTGCTGACAGCTAAAAACACGAAGAGATCAAAGTACAGTACTGATCTGCTGCTCGTATTTTTCTGTGTCCACGACCCCATACACCCATCATAATACACATTAGGGTGTTTTATTTCTGTGTCCACGACCCCATACACCCATCATAATACACATTAGGGATTAAAACACTCAAAAGATCACATAAACAAGTAAAAAATCTAGCATGGAAGACACAGCGATCATATAAGCTTCCAGAACTGAAAAAGCTGGCGCATGAAGGTAGGCTGATTTTCGCAAATCCCAGGAAACCCTCGAAACTCATCACATGACAAATTTCTCAAGCTCAATGACAAATTTCTCGAGTTCATGTGCAGTACCACACGCGCACAGTTCGGAGGGAAGCTCAGTCAGATTCAGATTGCAAAGACAACCACACCAAACCCATCACACACCAATACCCAACCCCCTGGTGGGAATGCAAACACTAAAGCACCAGTATATCGAGCTATCAGCCATAGGCCCCTTTCCAGGGCCACCAGCCACCAATTCACGTTATCTACAGTGCTCAGCCTCCTAATTTTCCGGAGGGGCTCAAAACAGCTTCTCCAGTGGCCTGCGGCCATGGTTCAAAGCACCGGTACCCGCGGGTGTCAACATAAAACCCGCACCACTTCGGAGGCTGCCAAAAAGGCGCCCCACACTGCGCAGCCCCTCCAATGTTTGGGAATGAACTTCTAAATTACCTGAGGCCAGTCAGCTCCACGACGCTATCCCAAGGAAAGAAAACGGAAAAAAAAAACACACAGCAGCATCACATCCATCCATCCACCCATCCATCCCAGCAGCCTTCCTCTACACACAGAGGACCATCGTACAGAGAGCCCACCACTCTACCCGTGGCACCCACCTCAAGGAGAACCGTGTCCAGTACTCCCAGCTTGTCTCCACCAACGAACACCAACTGACTGAAAGGTGGCCATGGCGACAAACCGCTGTTCCTCATACACCAGATCTTCATGAAGGTGGTGTTCGGAATGATCTCCATCCCGTCGCTGATGGTAACATCGCGAACAAACCGCGCATCGTACTCTTTGGCACTGCCCGGGGACGGACCTCCATGGCATGGTCCCACTCGGAAAGTGTGCCATGGCCTTCCCCCGAATGAAACGCTGCCTACAGCAGGGCCGCCAGTGGGCCCGTGGCAGCCACCAGATGCATTCTGCACAAGCAAAACGCGACACGGCACAGCAGACGAACACCACACACAAACAGAACGAGCAAAGCAAGTACGGTCCTGTCAGCAACCTGGCACTCACCAGCTGCATTCTGCACACCAAGACCCAACACACACAAACAGAACGAGCAAAGCAAGTACGGTCCTGTCAGCAACCTGGCACCCACCAGCTGCATTCTGCACACCAAGACCCAACACAGCACAGCAGAGCGAAGTGAGTACCGTCGTGTCAGCAACCTGGCAGCCACCAGTTGCATTCTGCACACCAAGACCCAACACAGCACAGCCGACAACCACCACCGACGGAAGAGTACAACCATGTTTGCGGCATGCGTTTTTCCAGTCATCTTCCTCACGTTTTTTCACCTTTTTTCCCATCGTACTTCCATTCACATCCGGTCCACAGAAAACATACAACATCAGAAAAAACAAGCAAAGCGAGATATGCAGACATACACAGAGAGAGAACGCCATCCTCCAGACACACACACCACAAGGCACAGCTCAGCCATGAAAAATGTTACAAAGAATCACCTACCCTGGAACAACAAGTAGCACAGAATCACCTACCCGGGGACAATGAAAACGCATAACGAACAACCATGTACATACCCACGTAAGAGTGGCACAGAATCACCTACCCTGGAACAACACTGACACACAAGATCACCTACCCTGGGACAACAAGTGGCACACAAATCATCTACTCCAGGACAGCAAAAACACGTAGTAGCCTCTTACAAACACAACCGAAAGAGATGCCGGACTCTGCAGATGAGGTCTACAACCAGCACCTATTCGGTAATAAAAGACCGGCAGCGTACCTTCCCATGTTCTAGCAAAAGACTCGTTCTCCTTAGCATATTTCGGGAGTGGACCGTACCCAGGTATCAACCCCTCCATGCCTAATTTTGCAGCCTATCTTTGGCTACACCCCTCCATGCCTGATTCTGCAGCCCATCTTTGACAAGACCCCATCCCCCAACCCTTAATGCTCCCTTGCTTTGCTCTTCTTCGTTTTAGGGGAGTACGGCGGCTTGTCCATTCCGGTTACACTATGGACAGTGGATAGAAAACTCATATCAATAAAAAAAAAGGGGGTGCGCACGAAACTCGGATCTCCACAGCTATTAGCCCAGGCATAAGTTTCACACTAATAGGGTTGCAACCCTCTGGCCAAACGACGCTACCTACCTTCCAGTACGGCACTGTGGGCTCGCTACAACCTCCTCTCGAGATTGTACGGAGGATACCACTGAGATTGTACGCACGGTGCTACCTGCCTTTCAACACCGAAGGCACAATGCATGCAACCCGCACAGACAGGAGCGCTACTGCAACTCCTCATATACTGCAACTCCTCATATCTCCTCAACATGCAGCCCGCACAAACAGGAGCGCTACTGCTATGTGGAACAAACAGTCTCAAACCTCTCTATATCCTACAGTTCTCGAAGATTTCCATGTTGAAAAGCGAACAACGTAACTCAACTGACGTAACTCGACAACGTAACCCAACACACCCCCACAACACACAGCCCCATCTACCTTCTTCCCCGAATACAACGTACAGTCGTTATAGCTTGCATATAGCCTGAAAGATGCCTCAAACACGGCTATAACAACCGTACGTTGTATTTGGGGGAAGAAGGTAGGTGAGGGCCCACCTACTGAGTTCAGCGACAACAAGGCAGTTCTCAACACTCTGCTGGATCGGGAATGAATCGAATGATTGTCGAACCGGCATACATACCCAGCTACGTCCATATCGCCCACCCATTCGACCCTGCCTCTCAAGGTCCCCATCTCCCACGACAGTACCAAGACGCCATCCCTGCATACGTCACCGATCGACCAACCAGTCATTTAAGTCAATCAGTCCGTCGCCATACATCACCGATCGACCAACCAGTCATTTAAGTCAGTCCGTCGCCAATCGACCAGCCAATCAAGGGTCAATCAATCATCCACGAAGTCGTCAAGGCTCAATCCGATCACCTCAAACCGGAACGGAGGAGGAAGGCTCACAAAAAAAAGCTCCCGTGCATCCACCGGCGATCATCAAATCAAACCCAACAAAAACCGTCCAACTGACCATCCCATGGCACAACCCCTAACCAAAGTAGCACTGTGATGGGAACAGCCTGAAGGCATTAAACCACAACAACTGTCCCTTAAGGCACTCTGATGCTGACAGACTGAAGGAAATAAACCACTACTGTCCCTCACTCACTGAAACACCCACCCACGACCTCCACCACCACACACAAGCTATACAAACACACAATCAACAGCCAACCACCCATGGCACACAAAGAGGCGTAACTCAACCCACACACAACCTATACGAACACAATCGACGACCAACCAAAAGAAGTGAACATCTATGTTTCACGTCTCTACAGTAAGCGAACCACAGTCCGCCATTACATTACGCTGTATGGAAGTCCACAACCACAATTCAAACCACAGCTCACAACACCGTACATAGTCACATTTTGTGTGTCTAAAACCAAAATCAGACCAAAAACCTAGGTCAGTCCTAGTACCAAACAGACAGCCCCGAAGAAATTGACAAACAGTCAGTCCTCAAAAACAAACAGCCCTGTGGACAGATCCCAAGCAGCCCTGGACAAATTGATAACTCCGACCATTGTGTGTCTAAAAGCTTCAACCATGATCAAACAGACCAAAAACTACCTAGTCACACAGCCCCGAAGAAATTGACAAACTTCCAGTCCTGGTACCAACCAAACAGCCCTGTAGACAGATTCGCAAGCAGCCCTGGACAAATTGACGACTCCACCATCGACCAATCCACTGAAATCGACCACGCATGGGTTTGACCCAAGTAAGCCACGCCACACTTGGCCCCCCCTTTATGACAGAAGGCTTCAGCACAGAATCTTCTCACAACTGCCAAGATCACACAACGTCACACACCATCACAAACAGACAACTGCCAAGATCGCACAACGTCACACACCATCACAAACAGACAACGAGCATGCNCACAACGTCACACACCATCACAAACAGACAACTGCCAAGATCGCACAACGTCACACACCATCACAAACAGACAACGAGCATGCGAATCTGTCCACAGGGCTGTTTGTTTGGTACTAAAATGGCTGTTTGATCCGACAGAGAAGAAGATATACGGGCGATAGCTACAGCCACCACCATGAACAGATGGAACGTAAAAATTCAGCAACGGTGCCATAGCCACCACCCCACCGCCCCAGGTATCTGTCACGGACCCACTCCGCCGCCACTTACAGTATACAGTAATATAACCGCTCCATGCTCTCGTCAGCCGACCCCATCCATGGCCTAATCCTCCCCATCAATGAGCGAATCCAACACATGACCTTCACTTACCCACTCAAATGCCCTAAATCACCCAGCCCCGCAGAGAAGTCCAGTGAGGATAACATACATCAGGAAGAAACCTGTGCGCCATCAACCCCTACGGCCTAGCTGCACTACACAAAACTCTTACATGCGTCTGGAGTCTGAACGTTATTTTTGAACCTGTTGCTTTCAACATGTTGGAATGCAATGGTTCAGAAAGCGTCCAAATGCATGTAGAGCATTGTGTAGTCGAGCGACAACATGATCATGATCAAACAGACATGATAAAATAATAGGACCCCCCCATAAACAAAGACAGGTTTCAAACACGTACCTAGCATCCAAGTGCACATGGTCCACAAAGCGTCCAGATGGATAGAGTATTGTCAAGTGGTGAGACACCCATACTTAAAGATCAGCAGCACCAGCGACGAGATGAAGGTGGAAACGGGCAAACATGTCTACGAAAAACACGACCCCAAATAAATATATATGTAAAAAAAAAGCAGGTGTTTCAAGCACGTACCCAGAGGCCGCAACGGCCAGAAGGACGTACATGCATGGCAGCATGTACAGGAAGGTCAATCCGCATGTAGTCGGCATCGCTCTCCTCACGTCCAACTCCCTCTTTTAACATGTTTACGAAAAACAGGACCCCCCCCCCACAAATAAAAAAAAAAAAAACAAAAAAAAAAACAGGTGTTTCAAGCACGTACCCAGGGGCCGCAACGGCCAGAAGGACGTACATGCATGGCAGCACGCACAGGACGGTCAATCCGCATGTAGTCGGCATCGCTCTCCTCACGTCCAACTCCCTCTTCCTTACACTTGCGACAGAGATCATAATCGTCCCTCCTGTGAGAAATCAAACCAATCGAAGCCATCGGGTCAGCAATTGAGCCTCCATTCCATCAACAACCAATTACCGACTTCTAAGAACGCTTGACCAGCGTCATAATTGCCATTCCTGGGAGACATCCGGCCAATCAGATACTCAAGCTTCAGGTTTTTGTGACAAATCGGGGAACCGTAGAAATCAGGCCAGCAAATTGAGTAAGCAAACCAATTATCAAACCCTGCTGTAACTTTATTTAAAATTCCACGCACGGTTCGAAACGAGAGCATATAGAATATTGTTGTTATATAATGAAATATTGTTTATCATTTAATTATGATCAGCCACAAGATGTCAAACAACGCCTGGACTTTTAAGCACCAATCAATCAAAAATCCAATCTCAAAACCCTGACTTAACCCAAGAGCCTAGCTCAGTGGGTACACCCATGAACTGTTGAAATACAGACCGGTGTTCGAATCCAGATGATGGAACTTAACGAGTAAGACCGACTACTAATGAATTGCTTGGGGTCGGTCAGCTCAATTAAGGTGAAAAAAAAAAAAAAAAAAAACCTGACTAAGCCCAGTCAGCAAAGCCAATGAGTCAGCAACCAACCACATCAAACCCTGATTGAATTCACATTAAACCCTTGTTGAATTGAAACAGCCTGGACTTCAGGCAGGCAATGACCGAAACCAATGAAGTTAGCAGCCACCACAAACACCACGTCAAATTATAAACATACATAACACTGTATAACATGTAAACGACATTAAAAAATAATAATACTGTAATAATAATAACAACAAAAATAAATAAATCAATATATTGTCACATACTCCAATCACATACTCAAAATCAATATATTGTCACAAAGTCCGAATTGCCTGGTGTGAACTTGACTTTCCGGTCAGATCGGTGACCATATCTCAAGGCCGTCACCCTCTGAGAAAAAAACCCTCGGAGAAAGGCTCAGAAAAAAACACAGGAAAACACAAAGGAAAAACGAAAAGAGAAAAAGAAGGGCCGTGTGGAAAAATAGCAGATATCAAGGGTTCTCTTCGTTGTACATGTGGTGATGAGATATAGCACCGATCAGAAAATTTCCCATCAAATGTTTGGAAAACAGACCCAATTTCAAGTCCACATGCAACGACACGACCACAATATAATCATTCTGAATTACCTCGTACTGGTCAGTTCAATGTTGACATCTCAATGCCGTTGAAGTCTTTCTTTTTTTTTTGAAAATTAAAAAAAAAGGGGGCGGGGGTGGCAGGAACAAATACGGAACTCGCCACTACTCTTAGGTCTAGGTAGTGTGAGGTGGAATTGAGAGAGCACTGGGATCTTAGGTACCCCCCTCTGATGCAAATGAATATAGACCCGCACTGCGCACCGATTCAGCCTCTTTGTCGCCTAAAAAACACTGCAGGTTCTGCTGGTTTAATCAGCGAATAGACCAGGAACAAAGGCTGTGCCACTTACAGAAGCGATTTGAATCTCGGCCCCACGATTGGTCCGACTCCACACCCGTCGCAGTAAATTCCAGGATGGAGCTGGATACCACAGTCATTCGACGAATCACTGCTGCCGCTGTCGTTCGCCGAAGAGAGTCCACTCTTCTGCTGCTGCTCCCGCTGCTGCCGGGCATCCGCTGACGAGGCCTGACCTTGCCCTGATGGCGATTGATTAGCTGCAGGACCAGCGGCGGCAGCTTCCGCATCACCATTCCCAGCACCCCTCCCCGTCGAGTTCCTCTGTGCAGGACAGCTATGGACATTGCCACCATCCCCAGCGGGACCACGACCCGCTCTCACATCGTCATCCCCGACTCCGCAATCTGCTGCCGTACGATGACCGCCAAGCTGCTCTGCTAAATTGCTCACCACACCCATCACGGACTCGAACGCCCGCGCCACTGCTTCCTGCGAGGCATCCTGTCCGATGGTTCTCAGAGCGGGATTCGCGCGCATGAGCTGCTCTATTTGCTGCACAACCATCTTTGCCACGTTGGCACTTTGACTCACTGCAGCCACGGTAGCATCGAGTCCTGGGACGGTATTGGGCTCCGAGGCAGCGGCGCGTAGACGGTCTTCCAGATTGCGCAGGATGTCGAACAAATTACAGTCGTGACGGGGGGGTTGTGGTCCGCGAGGGTCGGCGGAGGTCCCGCGCTCTTGGGAGGATCCCGGAGGCGCGCGCTGAGGTGCAGGGGGAGCGGGGGAAGGAGAGGCTGGCGGAGGGGGGGCAGAAGTAGGCGCAGAAGCGGGCGGAGGGGAAGCAGGATGGTTCGTGCCTCTCTTGGGTAAGACATGAACCTCCGCCCAACCGTCCCCCCACCCTCCGCTTTCGGCTCCTGACCCACCCGCTGCTCCCCACTCCCCCGTTGCCCCTCGCCGATCGCCCCAACCTCCCCAGCCGCGGTTTCCCCCTCCTCCGCCTCCCCCCCATCCACCTCCCCAACCGGCCCCTCTCCCCCTTCCCCACATTGACCACCCCATGAAACCGGGCTTCCCTCCCACTCGCGGAAACGGCGGTTCCGCCCATCCGCTAGCGCCTCCCGCTCGCTGACCCGATGATTCCCCGCCCCATCCGCTCGCGCCTCCCGCTCGCGGACCCGACGACTCCCCCCCCCATCCGATCGGCCCTCCCGCTCGCGCACCCGATGATTCCCCCCCCCATCCGCTCGCCCCTCCCGCTCGCGCACCCGATGATTCCCCCCCCCATCCGCTCGCCCCTCCCGCTCGCGCACCCGATGATTCTCCCCCCCATCCGTTCGCGCCCGCCGTCGGCGCATCCCCCCATCCCGACCCATCAGTCGTCCCAGGAGCGGACTTCCTCGTTACTTGCGCTGTTCTACTCCATCCACTCCCCCATACCCCTGTGTCGCCCGGCGCGGGACCTGTACCTCGACTGTCGCTCTCCACCGTAACGAAAACACGCAGAGGATTCAGATTTTGAATGGTGAACGCATCGTACAAATCATCATCTCCCGCCATCGTCACCAAGTCGTCATCCTTGTCCCTGTACGTCAGGCTGAATTCCACACCATCAGCGATACTCAGCGCCTCTCGAATACGCGCTTTCACGTCCGCAAACTTGGAAGCTGGAGGTCTGGGAACAATAAAACGCCTTAAATTGGTCTGGTATTGCACCTGCAGCGGGTGAACGCAACACAAGGACACGCCAGAATCGACGAAATCAAACGACAGAATAACTACAAGACAACCGATCACTTCTACAGTCATTCGTTCAGGCACATAACACCAACCTCTTGCATTGTCAAGTGGGGGGAAACAACAAAAAAAAAATACAAGAAAAAAAAAAGAAGGTCAAGACCAATCGACTTACATTTTGCCAAGTACCCTTCCCCTATATCGTTCCAATTTTGACGGATGTCACAGCAGATCGTCAAATAACAACTTCCACAGCTCCTCTCTTTTGATCTTTCCTTCTTTTTTTCTGTTCTTAACCTCCCGACTACTTACAGCAAAAAAAAAAAAAAAAAAAGAAAGTCACTTAAATCCAGCAACGAACACCACAACCACAAGCGAAACAGCAGTCCCCACTCTTACGAACAACTTCCTAGATTCGGGTCAGATACGTAACGTAATTACACCAGCCCACTCTCTGTCCGTGGACAAAAACGTGTGACCTTCACGCCGACGACCGTTTTCTCTCCGAATAGAACGTACGGTCCTTGCACCTAGAGTAAGTCAGCTCCAAAAGAGCAGCACAGCAGCTACAACGACCACCACGCGTTATATACGCCCGAAGACCGGGCGCAGCCATAACGACGACCGCGCGTTATATACGCCGGAAGACCGGGCACAGCCATAACGACGACCGCGCATTACATACGCCGGAAGACCGGGCGCAGCTATGACGACCGCACGTTATATACGACGCCGGAAGACAGGGCGCGGCTATTACGACGACCGCACGTTATATACGCCGCCGGAAGACCGTAGCGGGCGCAGAGAAAGCAGAGTGACTCCAAAGGAGAAACAAACCCATCACAACGAATGATCTTACATATGCCAAAGCGCTGACGCGGCACGTCAATTAGACACATCGAAATTGAATCGTCCTGTACAACGGTCAAAATTGGACGGATACAGAGAACATCAGCATGCATGGCCCCTGCGCAAGGATGACAAGCATAAATCGGGAAATGGGGAAAGACAAAAGCAGACAGGCACGTCGAAATTGTCCACCGGGACATACATTAAAACTGGAACGATGCAGAGACGTCCATCGGGATATACATTAAAAGTATAACGATGCAGAGAAGATTAGCATAGCCACTGCGCCAGAGACGATGACACGCATATATCGGGAAACAGCAAAAACTAGCAAAAAGAAGCACGCACGTATAATCATATTCAGCCTTTTCGGGGGTTTGATGAAATAAGCCTCACTCACGTGTCTACGACGACGATCGCTGTACGAGGGTGTGTTGATAGGGACTTACGGACTTTCACCTTTTCCTTGCAGTGGCAACCCACCCTTCCCATCGCCAGGAAAGATCAAAACTGAAACCTCCATAACCGAGTCGACCGTGCACATGACCTTCCGGACGACGAGGACGAGGGCCAGCGCCGTCGTCCGTCTGTCAAAGAACACGTATGCGCGATCGAGCCAGTCTTTAAGCTAATCTACGGCCCTTTTTGCCCTCCATAATTGACTCGACCGTTCACATGGCCATTCGGACGACAAGGAGACGGTCAGGGTCGTCCGTCTTTAAAAGAACACGTACGCGCATAGATCCAGTGGAGAAAGCTTGCTCAGCTCTACAGCCCCTCGTTACCTGCGGTCGAGCCCGTATTTCAGCTAATCAAAAGGCTTGCTGCGCTCTACCAGCCCTTTTTCTTACCCTCCATAACGACTCGCCCGTCCCCCTTAAACTCTAAATCAGGAGGCTTCTTCAGCTCTACAGCCCCTTAACCCCCCTTAAGCCTGCGTTCGAGCCTGTATTTCAGCTGATCGGAAGGCTTGCTCAGCTGTACATAGCCCCTTTTACACTCCGTAAGGACTAAACTCTACATGGCCTTTCGGCCGACGAGGTTCCTGACCGTCCGATTCGAATACATTTCACAGCGAGGGGGCATATCCGTCCGTCGTCGTCCCACGGCACAGTCGTCGTCCTTCTGTCGAACAATAAATACGCGAGATCGAGTGTCTTGTACCTAATCCGGCGACTGCTAATCAGAAGGCTGGCTCAGCGATACGGCCCGCCTTATCCTGTCTCCATCCACCCTTACTACTTGAGCAGAGGCTTTTGCTTGCTGCGCAATATGCTGCATAAGAACACAAGCTACCGGTGGTGCCGGCATGTAAACAGAGGCTTCTTGACACGCAACCATCTCCGCCTAACTCTGCCTCCTGCTTTTTTTTGCGCGATCGGCCTTACGCGTCGGCCGAGAAGCTTCTTGGTTCACAAAGACAGCTGAGATTCCATGTTCGGTCCACAATGACAACTGCGTACACCTACGTACACCTGCCAATAAAGAACGAAGCAAGTATGTTGAGCTTCTTGGGACCCGACCATCCTCCGCGTAACTGTGCCTTATGCTTTTTTTTCTGCGCGATTGGAGTTACGCGTCAGCTGAGATTCCATTCCGAGTTACGCGTCAGCTGAGATTCCATTCCATGTTCGCTCCATAAACGACAGGAGTAATTAAATATACCTACCAATAAAAAAGGACAAAACAAACCTGCTCAGCATCACCACCAATGCCCATACCAGAGATCTCTGCAAGATTGGCCTTCCACTTCAGCTGAGACTCTACATGTCCAGGCTTCTATGCAGGGTAGGCTGCCAGTATTATCGGAATTTGTTTACGCATTTCGGGAGGTCACAACAGCACACACCACGCGAAATCAATGAAAATGGGAATCTCAAAGATCACTGTGGTAATAAAAAGCGGGCAGTTCTCTGCTTCGCACCATAACGCGACCCATTGGACGTTCCTATTGGAAAATAATAGGAATATGTTGGAACGATACAGAAAAGAGTAGCACGGGGCCTGCGCACGGCCGAAACGAACGAAGAGAAGAGCATCCTGATCCTGATCGCATAAAAGTCCGGGGCCAATAGGAATTTGATTGCCACGTTAACCTCTTCAAAACAAAACGAAACGAAAGCGGGAAAACAACGAGCCTAACTCAAAACGGTACCTCCATGTGCTGTCGCAATACAGACCCAACTTAAAAAACTCGAGATGATGGGGGGGGGGGGGAATGTTCAAACAAACAATAAAACAGAAACAGACAAAAAAAAAAAAAAAACAGAAAGCAAGCAACAGTTGACCGAGCGCCATTTTCCCGCAGTTCAGAGAGCGCCGTCCGAGGACAGCTCGGAATTATTGACATACAGGCCCAAGTTCGATTCCAGATGATGGAAATAGACATGAATCGGTAAAAAAGGTCGAGAAAAAAGCTGGTCAACATCAGAAAGATGGGTATATGCAATTGCCTTCTCAAGGCCGTCGCCCTTTACAAAAAAAAAAAGAAAAAAAAAAAAAAAAAGCGCCATCTTCCTCGCTCGGCGAGCACCTCGAGGACAGCTCGGAACTGTTGATATGCAGACCCAAGTCGGATTTGAGCTCATGGAATGGATGTAAGATCCAATATCAAAACAGAGAAAGCAGCCTATACAAGTAGATCGAAGGAAAAGGACTACCGCTACCGGCTTTCAGATTCGCAGAGCGCCATCTCTCCGGGTACGTTTGCGCCGAAGGAGGACAGCTCGGTTTTCTTCCTTATCAAAACACAGCGGGCGGTGGGGTTTTCTCCCTTAATATCCTTGCGCAGGGGCTGTTACTCCCTACACGCAGTCGGAGAGACGGGGGCTTCTTAGTCTCACACACTTCGCGCGTATCATCCTTGCGCAGGGTTGGTCTCACACACTTCGCGCGTATCATCCTTGCGCAGGGACTATGCTACGCCCATATAACATCACTCGAACTTCCGCGAACTTTCATCGAACTTCCTCGAACTCGGCTCGAAGTTCCCAAATTCCATCCCAAGGGACAAGAGAGAACCTTTCGTGAAAAAAAAACACTCCGCCTCAGAGGCCATGGCTGTAACGAAAGGACACGAACTCAGCATGGCTCGAAAACACTACTGCCCAACGAGAGAAAGAGATCACAGCCATGGCCCCTGCGAAAGCACGACGCATAAGTCAAGAGCAGCTTTTTTTCCTGAAAACACTGCAGCACGTTCGACAGCCAGCAACGCAACGTAGCGCCCTAGACAGCCGGTCCATCAACGGCGAGAGAAGAAACCTGGAGGCTAAACTACTATCAGACATCAACAACCCCTGGCTCAACTACCATCAGACACCATCAACCCCTATCACACAAGCAGTTAAAACTTAAAGGGGGGGAAGAAAAGGTAGTTGGAGACCGTGATACAAAAGGCAAACAGCCACACCGAGAAAAACAGAACGAACAGAACGAGCAGAACGTATAAGGGTAACAAAAAAACAAACAGATCACATCAAAATTTAGTTTGACGCCGTTCGCCAGCCCCGATGGGGCGCATCGGCGGAATCAGGGCAAGGGAACGAACTCTGTTCAACGGTGCTACCATGGGGCCTCGGTCCACTACTAACCACATGCACCCAGGACAAATAAAAAAAGACCGTGTAACTTCCCATAATCCAGCGGAAAATTCATTCTCATTTTACATTTAGTTCAGCGAGGCCCATAGATAACTGATGAGAACATACGCCTTCCAATCAACCAGCCGAGCGAAAGAGACAGACCGACTCTGGAACCTCTCTTTCTCTCTCTCTCTCAGAAACGGAGATTACCGATCGGAAGACCCCAAGCGGCAACAGACCCCAGAATACACCCTCAGCGGCAACAGACCCCAGAACTCTCTCTCTCTCTCTCTCTCTCTCTCTCTCTCTCTCTCTCTCTCTCTCTCTCTCTCTCTCTCTCTCTCTCTCTCTCTCTNTCTCTCTCTCTCTCTCTCTCTCTCTCTCTCTCTCTCTCTCTCTCTCTCTCTCTCTCTCTCTCTCTCTCTCTCTCTCTCTCTTTCTCTCTCCTACAAGCCACGGAGACAACGACCCCAAGCAGCAACAGACTCCAGAATACACATGTCTCTCTCTCTTTCTCAGTCTCTCTCTCTCCCCCTTTAAAGCCACGGAGATAACCGATCGGAAGACCCCAAGCGGCAACAGACTCCGGAGATAACCGATTGGAAGGCCCCAACCTCTATCTCTCTCTCCCGCTTCACAAGCCACGGATCTCTCTCTCTCTCTCTCTCTCTCCCTCTCTCTCTCTCTCTCTCTCTCTCTCTCTCTCTCTCTCTCTCTCCAACCCTTTGAAAGAAATCGACGGGCATCATCAAGACCATCATCCCAATTTGAAGAAATCAAGAACAGGGGCGTCATCATGACCATCATCACCCACACCAGAGATTGATTGGCATCATCAAGACCAGCATCCCAATCTGAAGAAATCAAATACCGTCATGGAGATCATCGAGGCAACTCGAACAACTCACCTTGATTACCAGATCCTCCATTTTCGCTGATTGGCTCGCCGTCGCTTCCATTAACACTTCAGTGACTATTCACACTAAAGATTAACCGTATATACTCCTTCCTCAAACCCGCCCTCCGTCACTCAGAGCGTTCCCGTCAGCCGCCCTCTGAGCACACAAACCGACCACCTTCACCAAACTCCTACTCCCTAACACCTCCGTACACAGCGCGCCCTCGTCTAGGCGAACACGCACGCACGCGAAAACTGTCCACCACCTTTCTCTCCTCCCCCCGTCCTACCTTCTCCCTCGCTGCTGCCTCTTCAGGCAGACACGTGCTCACAGCTTCCACACCGACTTCTTGCCCCCCTCCACAGCCCCCAACCCTTCGGACTCACCACGGCCCCCCGCACACACCCTCCGCGCGCCCCCCTGAATCGAGCACCGACACTGCCTTGCTCACCGCCAACAACACCGCGCGCAAAATCGCTGAGGCTCCACACCACCTGCCCCGCGCACAAGCTCGCGCCCTCCAGCCGCGGCTACCTCCAATGCCTTCTTCTTCCCAACCGTGTGACCCCTATTCACCGTGAACCCTATCTCGAGCAGAACACACTTATCACTCGAAACGCTAATTACTAATCAGCTCTACTACACACGAGCCAAGCTCATCACCCCTCCCCTTTGCCTCCCCGCCATCGCTCCTCCGCGTTCCTGTGATCCGCGGGCTTCGCTGTCGTGCTACTCTCTCAGGAGTCACAAGGACAGACGTGTGGTGTTCTGTTTATATTCGTTTCTCCACTACGGGGGCCAAGTCCCACTAGCAGCGTTGAGCTACCTCAACGCCTGAATCTGGAGGTGTTTGTGGAGACGTGCAGTTCAGGAAACTCAACACCATTTCTGCACATCTCCACAAAAACGTCCAGATTCAGGCGTTGAGGTAGCTCAGAGGCTGTCGGATCGGACAAGTTGGCTTGGCGGGGCGGTTCACGAGGTCACCACCAATACCAGCTCCGGTGGCGTAGGCCCGCAGCTCAGCTCCAACTGCTCGCCAGCACATGTGAGGGTTGTTGCGTTGCGTGTATCCGTCCGAAATAACTCGCAAGATACACGCGCCATTTTTTTCTTTTCTTTGGACAAACTTATGCCCGGAGGGGGGG